CGGGGGTGGTGGGAATGTTTTGTTGATTTTTGTTTTTCTCTATATTTTGTTTTGTTTTGTTTCAGACTGTGTTCAAACAACTTGGTGGTGTGATACGGGAAGCAGAGCCTGTGACCTCTCTGACCCCCGGTGACCTGGTGAGCGTTGTGACATCACGATCTGTGTACAGAGCGCACAAGGTCGTTATTGCTACCGGACCTTGGACAGACCGTTTTGCCTCTGCTCTCAATGTGAACCTGCCATTAAGGGTATGTGCTTGAGTGTGTGTCTGTCTGTTTATCATGTGTATGTTTGAGTGTGTGTCTGTCTGTTTATCATGTGTATGTTTGAGTGTGTGTCTGTCTGTTTATCATGTGTATGTTTGAGTGTGTGTCTGTCTGTTTATCATGTGTATGTTTGAGTGTGCGTCTGTCTGTTTATCATGTGTATGTTTGAGTGTGTGCCTGTCTGTTTATCAGTGTATGTTTGAGTGTGTGTCTGTCTGTTTATCATGTGTATGATGAGTGTGTGTCTGTCTGTTTATCATGTGTATGTTTGAGTGTGTGTCTGTCTGTTTATCATGTGTATGTTTGAGTGTGTGTCTTTCTGTTTATCATGTGTATGTTTGAGTGTGTGTTTGTCTGTTTATCATGTGTATGTTTGAGCGTGTGTCTGTCTGTTTATCATGTGTATGTTTGAGCGTGTGTCTGTCTGTTTATCATGTGTATGTTTGAGTGTGTGTCTGTCTATTTATCATGTGTATGTTTGAGTGTGTGTCTGTCTGTCTGTTTATCATGACGTGTATGTTTGAGGGGTAGGTTGGTTTGTGAGTGTTTGTTTGTGTGCTTATTTATTTTGTTTGTTTGTTTGTGTGTTTGTAGGTTTATGTATTATTTCAGAATGTATGTTGTGTACTGTATGTCATTGTGTGTATATTTTCTTTTTTGTTTGCTTGTTTTTTTGTTTGCTTGTTTGTTTGTTTGTTTGTTTGTGTTTTGTGTGTATTTTTATGTATGTGTATTATTTCAGAAAGTGTATTTTTTGTGTATGTGTGTATTTATAATAAATATATATTTATATGCATGAACACCCTGGGGTTTGTGTTTGTGCTCGCATTTATTATATATTATAGGTCTTATGTTTGGAGAAAGTGGGTTATGCCTGTTTGTATGCATGTTAAGTGTATGTTTGTGTTTTATGTATGCATGTTAGGTGTATGTTTGTGAGTATATGTATACATGTGCGCTTGTGTGTGTATGTGTGTGAATATGTGTATGAGCGTTTGTATGTACCGGCAAGATCATACTCATATATGTGTATATTATCATAATAATTTATGTGAGTGTGTGCGTGGGGGCTATGTGATTTTTTAATTTTTAGATAAATAGACCTACATATATTTTTAATTTTTTAAAATTTTATTTAAAAATATGTATGTTTGTATGTTGTGCAGCTTGAGTTTGTGTTTGTGCTTGCGTTCATGTTGACGGGGGGTGCGGAGAAGTGCTGTCACAGCACAAATGACCAACGGTAATGGGAATGTTCTGGCATGCACAGGCCTACTGTACTGTATAGGTTCATAAAGTGGTGCTTTAACATAATTTAACTTTTTAAGACTCATTTGTTTGAGTTGAAATTTTAGTTAAAGTGTATTAGCAGATGTTGATGTGTCTTTTTTCACTGCTGTACGCTCGTATGTATATATACAGTGCAGCCTCTATATAACGACCTTCGATATAACGACATCCTCTGTATAGCGACCTGGTGCCCAGATCCCGATTTTTTCTTGATATATCATATCAATAGCAGAAATGTTTGGTTACCTCTCTATTACGAAAACTCTCTATAATGACTTTTTATAATGACGATGATGTTATAGAGAGGCTGCACTGTAAATAATATGTGGCTTAGAAAGTTCTTCCTCGTGTGCTTGAACTGGTTTTCTTGTTTATATTAAATGTTTTTTCATTTGTGTATGAGGTTTTACGCTCAGTCTCAACAATAATGTCATCAATGAAAAGCGCTCTGAACTTATATTTGTATGTAACGGAGAGCTATATAAGTAAGAGGCAGTGTGGTTAAAAATCAGGTGCTTGTCAACGTAATGAAATCAAAGAAATGTATATTTTTCCGCTCTCTTGGCACTTTTTATTGAATTTGATTTTTTGG